AAACGGTGTGTACCTGCACATGCAGAAATATATTATTATTATTATTATTATTATATTTGGGAGACTATCGATATCTCGAGAAGCAATTGGTCAAAGCTGACAAACAGTTGTAATGAAAGCGCAGCACGACGTATCCACGCGCTATCTTGTGCGGATGCATGACCAAGCACCTCCAGCCAGCGTATGTCCAGTAAAACTCTTGACGTCAGCCCCAATGGTGAAGACCTACAAAGCTATTTATTTACCGCTTCAGTTCACTCCTCTTCACCAGTGGGGTAGTGGTTATCCCAAGACGTGATCAGTTAGAAGTTTGAACCCAAAGAGCCTGCCGTTGGTAGTATTTCCTCACGTAGTACAATATAACAATAAAAAACGTACTATGAAAATTTCCATCAGTCGTGTTCTTCGTCAGCGCCTCATCTTTTCCAGATGTCCTAAAAAAGAATAAAAAGAAAGTTAATGTGCATAATGGGACGAAATCGTACGTGCAAAAAAAAAAAACTGATAGATATGCGCATAGATAACACGCGACAGCGTAAAAATGTTCCGCACGATGACCTGTTTTTGGAATCTTTTAGGAAGAATAATAAACACATACTTGAACATACCAGAAAAAATGACACAACAATACAAACAGACGAGAAGTGTCTCACGTGCAGTATTCGCTTGAGTGTTTCGGAAACCTGACCCTTCTTCCAGAGTGCATTGTTTTGGGCCGTTTGTCAGATACCAAAGAGGTCTTGTCGTGATTGTTGACTACCTGAGGTGTCGTAATTATGAGGTTCAAGCCATTCGGATGTACTGGAAGAAAATCAATATTACTAGGGTTCCATTCTAAATAGGCGGCGTTTAAACTGTTAATGCTGACGTTACCGTTACTTCCATTTTTATCGATGATATAGTATTTGGGTTTGCAGTGAAGGACTTTGAAGAGTATTTTGTACGCCACCCTGAAAGGTCGTAGCAATCAATCGTGACGTACGAAAAACGTGTTTGTTATGTCATAAAGCAGGTTGAATGAAAACACCAGCTGACTGCGGTCGAGTAGGAGCAGGTTTGACTGGCTCGCCGTTGGATACGCTCCAAAGTGACCTTATCATTTTGGAGTGAGGGAGGGAAGTACTATGTTTCCGTACTCTAAATGGGGACGGATGAAACTATTGAAGATTATATGGAAAGTTCTTCCGTCAAACTGTCCAAAAATGCGCTTCAACGTTACCATTTGCATTTGAGAGTGTTGTGCTTAATCACCTTAGATTTCTAGCAGCTTACATAGGGGCGTTCTAACTCCACGTCTTTTTTCGTGCCATGCAAACAAAATCGTTTTTCTATGAACTCGGTGATTACTCGAACAGTTAGATGGGAATCCTTGTGCAACGTAATGAAGACGTTGCATCAATAATGATTTGGCACGATTGGGTAATCCCTACCTAGAGAATTGTCATGCAGTGAACGTCTTTTGTTTAATCCCATATATTTGAGTCGTAGTTTCAGAGTGGTATAAGAAAACTGGTACAGAAGATCAGCCCTCGGTAAAAACTTACCAGGACGTTGAATGTACGTAATTGCTTGACCGTAGTCATTCTGGATAATCTAGAACCACCGTCATTTTGCGTTTCAGAGGGCGAATATTTTAAGAATCAATAGTGCGTCCGAGAAAATCCGTGAAGTCGGGTTCGATCCGATATTTCTGCATGTTAACAGTAATGCTGCGTTTGTGCAGTCGTTCGTAAACATGGCCCGTATGCTGAAGACGAGATTCTATGTCCTCCAGCAATCTACACATGCGTGCACGAAGTTACGAAGTCTAAAGACGTCATCGATGAATCACTGAAAAGTTTGTGCTACACATCTCAAACTGAAAGGCATGCGCAAAAATTCGTAGGTTCTGAAGTGAGTGGTGATAGCAGTTTTAGCAATGTCGTCTGCAGCCATACGAATTCGGTCACATGTTTTAACGAGATCAGTGTTTGAGAGACTTTTGTGCAATCGTATACGGAATATGAAATTCAGACAGCGAGTTCTCGTTTCACGTATGAAACAGATATGTCCGATCAAGTTCAACGCCAAGGGACGAAAACCCCTCAACAAATTTCCGTTATTTTACCACAGGTTACAAAGTGGCTTAATACTGGATCGCCTTATACTGAATCGCGATGCTGGTATGAACGCGCCTTATATTTTCTATCAGCCTAGGACAGTCTTAGAATATTTACAAAATAAGTTTGTCATGCCTATCTCCACAGTCTAAGAGGACACTCTAAGTTCAGAACCAAAGTCGAATTATTTATTTTTCTCGCACAGAGAAGTGGATTAATGGTATTCTCCATCAGAATGTGTAATATTAGACTGTTCTGTTTATGCATTCAAAGAGAGATTGGATCTACTCAGTACAAATTGCTAGGATTAATTTAATTTGACCTCCTATCCTTACGATTGAAGATTGAAGGATGAAGAGTTATAAAGTAACCAGGTATAAGCAGTTTGCAAGTTTTCACTTTGAAAAGGTTAATTAATCAGTCTGGTAGTGGTTGTTTGTTAGCATCAATAATACATCTTTAGTGCACCTAGCACTTCGTACAAACGACCTTTGGTTTGAAATTATCGCTAGATTGTTTGGATCTATATCGTTAGTTGGGCAGTAGCACTTAACTGGAAGCCCAATTGTCGGGAAATTTATGTGCATCTCATTGGGTGATTAACTCCGACAGCAATTTCAACCAACTGATCGAGTCGTCCGTTAATGGCCAGCCGTGGCTCGTTATGTTCACCCACGTTCCCAACTTTGGGGAAAAACCCCAACGTTTGGGGAAATTTTGGGATTGTTTTGCCATTTCCCCGAAATTTTCCCAAAGTTTACTATAGCGGCTTCCCCAAAATGGGTCAAATTTTCCCCGAAATTGGGAGTTTAAGCACATAATCATTTTGGGACTCGAACTCACCTTTACGCCCCCAGTCTGTATCTTTATCCTTTAGATTATGTGGTCTAGTGACTAAACTTTCTAAATATCTGAAAGACCTAATTAGGTTCAGTTGCATCATGAACCTCAAGGAAACTACCTGAAAACTAAGGGTTCAATAGTAGACGAAACTGTAGGCAAACCTCGTTGCAAGTAGTCAGGTCTTAGAATTCGCTACCGTCTGTGGTCCAATCAATTCTGTAGTCCCTCATGAGCTTCAGACACTAATTCGTACTAATTTGCTAATACTCTTAGTTTTGTCCCGGGGTTAATGGTCTGTTGCTAGTAGACACGTGAACTCAGCGAGGGCTTTCACTCCACCCACAACCATTATGACCGTATATATGCATATTTCAGTCAGTCAAACGCAACATGAGTTTTCCTCAAAGCCTGGCACATTTATGCATCGGTTCAACATACTATACCCAATCAGCATATATCCATGTGTATAAAGATTTATTACTGTGTTTGGAGTGATTGGTAACACCTCACATAAGAGCTGTGATTGCTTGAGAGGTGGGGTTTGTTGGTAACTATCATAGCTCAAACTCCCATCTGGGAATTTTACTCCAGATCTACAATGATTAGGGGATTCTTCCCAAGGTTTGTACAGTATCTTGGGAGGTTTTAAAGCCTGTGAATTGTGAAATTATCGGTAAAACGGTACGTTAAAGCATTTGTATTTGGTTGAAGTTTGTCAGATTTCATTTTACCAAGAATTATCCATAACTCATGTCAAGTAATCTTCTGGGCATAAAGTGGCCTGTTTAAATGACTAATACGGAGTAACAACTGTATCTGGTGCTTCATTTCCTATAAATAATAATGATGGTTATATCAGAATTGCGATATTGAACGGCTCTGTAAGTGGTCTTTAAACTTTAACACCGACATCTAGGCAATTGAAACTGTCAAAATCAAAAGTCTCTCTAAAACGGTGATAAGAATCGCATGCTTACATTTACTTTACATAGCCTATATGTTCATCAAGGTGTTATGAGTTTTTTATAGTCCTGAAGCAGAATATTTATGCTACTATCGTTCGAGGAAGTATTTGTTCACGACTATATTCTTTAGCGAGTCATGGATGATTGTAAAAAATTTCCGCGATATTTGTGCACGTAGACTACGAATGTTCAGTGAAGTGACCTGACTCTGGCTTAGCGATGTAGTTTATAGGATGAATAAGAACTAGGTCTAACAGTCATATCTTCATTCGCCGTATTGCAAATTGGACTGATGCATATGTGTGCCTGGTCCTAGCTGACTGACATATCTTCATTAATTAGAGTGAATAACCTATAGGGTTTTTTTCGTGAGCAGCGATCACTCGGCCATCTTGTACCACTACTCTTCATCTATCCATCAACATTACTTTAACTATCGGAAATCCGTTCAAATCAATAAAATCTTTCCCTCAAGTTACAAAATAATTTAACCCAGCTGGATCTTAGGTGTTGTGTGACAACCATGATGATAGATTGGTGACGTTAGATGATGTGGTTCAGAATCTGTTACAATATCACAGACGCATTTAATTCACTCCTTTCATAGATCTTGGTTTTCAATACTCCTTCATACACTTGTCTTGGAGCTTGATTCTATTATCGTTGATGCTGCTAATATTTTGATGACCTCGCTACTCATCCTATTAATTTTATATTGATCTTTTGATGCTCACTTGTTCCAAGCTGTGCGTTAGTGATGACTGACTGAATATCAACTAGCCATGGGTTCGGGCAGTCAGAAACTCGCTATTCCTCATACGAAAAGGGTTTCCTTAGTGATTATACGGACTCATGATAGGTTACTGAGCTGCACTACCACTATTGTTGTTTCATTCTTGATCGCTATACACTTTAGGTGAATCCAATAAATTGTTTGCTAACTGGTTTCCCAGTTTTACTCATGATTTTAAAATCGACGCGTTATTTTGTCAGATTATCAAATCTTTACTTTCCTAGCTTTGAATTGTCTTGAACTAAACGTACTTGGCTTCTGCAAATTGTATTATTGATAATTTATTCGGAAAGTTAAACCATGTCTAATAATGCTTGCAAAGGTATTTTTATTAATTTTTGCCTTAAATTTACGAAGGTGATGTTCTCACATTTTTTGAGAAAGAGAACAGACCTTTTAGTGTTGTTGATGTGTGTAGTGCTTTGAAGAATTATGGGAAAACGGTAACTATACGTGCTTAAATTAGCGATTCCGTAGGGTATTTCTAGAGCTTTGGATGATCTTGTTGAAGAAGGTTCAATTAAAGAGAAAGTTTATGGAAAGCAAAAGGTTTATGTTTATGACCAGGTTAACAAAACGCACCGAAGTTTCTTAATTCACTGCAGACTAAACTCCCTTCATTCGATGAAAATGAGATTAGAAAGATGGAGGCTCAATATGCAAATTTATCGGTTGAATTAACAGAAGAACAAAAGAAATTGAAAAGTGTAATCGAGGGTAGGGTGCACTAGTTCTATTTTTTCACTTTTCTCTAGAACTTAAAAAGATCACCTCTAGTCTTACAAAGGAAGAAGCAGAAAAAGAGCTTACTCAAGTAAATGAGAAGGTGAGTATTCTCTTAACTAGCTGAGCTTTATTTTGTGGAAAAATTATTTTTAAACATGAATTAAATGTGTTGGTTTGTTTATTAACAGCTGTTAATTTTTACAGGGAAAAGGAAAAGCTAATAGTTGGTTTTCTGACATTCAGTTACATATCAAATGTATACTAAGCAATATTAAAAATGTGGACCCTAGCTATACCAGTAGGTTCTGTTTGTAATTAATTAAAAGTGAGTTAATTAATCAAACTGTTGAGATAACTGCATCTGTGCAAATCCTATGGGCTGTCGAATTTTCCGTCAGACTGAGTTTCATAGTTTTTTATGGTCCCAGTTTAGAATACTCAGATAAGTATAGGGTGCCGCAATTTTATGGGGGTGTTCTTAAACCATTGTGTGCCTTGGCATAAAAACAACATAAAATGCGAACTATTCTAGCAATAGCCACTGATTTCATGTAATAAAGTCATCATGTGGTCTATTTAATCTTATGATATACAAACCTACTATGTTAAACATAACACGTTTGGCGATGTTTGAGCATCCATATCAAATTGATACTATCTTAGGTCCACAGTCTTGCCAACTGATTTATCATCTCTGTTTACTAATTGACCCAAAGCCTCTGTATTTGCTTACTTTGTTGTTCAGCTGTACTCATTTAGTACTTCAAAGATAGCCTTTATTAAATACAAGGTTTCTACATGTATCCTAAACCTTCAAAGGCCATTTTCATACCAAAAATGCTGTCCTATACTCACCATTTTATTAACGGTTGAATATATGTTGCCTGATTTGTATGACGGTAGTAAGCTCAAACTGACCACTTATATTCGCGCCGTGATTTCTTCAGCTAGCAGTATACCACAGTTTACAGAACCCAGGCTTAAGCAAAGGATGGTTGTTTGTTTAATAAACTCGATGGCGCTTGTTATTGGACATAAATATATATTTGTATTCCAGAATTTCGGAAACTGCTGGACAGGATACATATGTTGTCACAAGATATCCGTCACTTTAAATCTAACCCAATTGGATGGATCATCTTGTCGCCAACACCATGATCATTAATCTAGTCCATGTAACGGAAGTTCCTAAACCGCTTCTCCTGAATACCTGGAAGTCACTTGTTGCATTCTCATGCTTTTCTCCGTCATAGGAGAATAATTGTCAGGGTCTCGTCTAGGGTATATCTAGTTGAGGGATATTCGTTAGTTCACCTATAGTCAGCTGAAACTTCCTAGAAAATGTCCTACCCACATAATGGTCCTGTGGTTCGTCTCTTTCTTTATAATTATGTGTGTTTAGACGTAGATCGATCTTTTATTATTTTAGTGCACTGTTTACATTTCACACTGATTTTTGAGCTGTAGTCTTCAGTCTGTTTACATAAATATGTTAATCGTCGTCAATGGCTAATAATAATCTTGTAGACAGCAACATGTTTTTATATAATTTAATATACTTATCTTAGTTGTTTGTCGTCTGTTTAAAGCTAAACGAAATCGAAGTGGAAGTGAAAGCACTCAAAGCTAAAGGACCAGGGATTGCTGAAGCTGATTTGAAGCTGGTTAGTTTTTCATTGAAAGTCATCTATGTTTCCATAGAATTTTTAAATAAATTACCCACGTTACTAGCGTTGCTACTGTAAAGTATTTATAATATTTTTTCAGCTCACTAGTGTGACGAACAGTTTTTACCTGAAAGCTTATTTACTAAATACTGTTGCATTGCGCGGTTCTACATCTAATCAATATCTGAGTACACCATACCAGTTTTATTACATAGTGCTATCACAACGTGTCAGCGATATCAAAAATTAGGCTTGGTAATTATGCCTCAATTTCATTAGCACGTTATTAACCTGCAAAACTCATCCTGAAACTTCATGTGTTAAACAGCATAAATTCCGGGTTTTTTGGTGTTTAATGATTTTTGCGTTTGTTTCATTATACTGAAAAGTTAGTCAGTTACAAAGTAGAACCTGCACGTATGTACATCGCTTCAAGTTGCTACACCTCATTAGCACAGAGTAATGCAATAGGTCGGGCTAAATCCCGGAATAGTAGAGGTAGTAACAGTGTGACTGATGGCCGAAAAGATTAAGCACGGGAGATATGATTCAAAAAGAAAATATAAAGTAGTGAGATAAGAACACAAAAATAGTTGTGAGGAATTTAGAAACCCAGAATTTGGGGAAAGACAGAATGTATACATCCGCGCTATCGTAAACGATTTTGAGCCATATAATTCAAAGTCACTAACCATTAGTTATGATAATTACTCAGAACTCAATTAAATAGTCTGTACCAACTAACATAGCTCAGTTCACTTGTCAGTGACTTCATGAACTGATGCCATGTTTTGGTTTGGCCGCCCCTAGCTTTCTTCCAGCCAACTCCTGCACCAGGAGACATCGCTCATCGAGGTAGGCGGTGGTTCAACATACGTGACACATGTTCCAACCACCTCAGTTATTGAGGATTTACTACCTCATCAGTCGATTTGCCATGCTTACTTAGTATCTTATTTCTAACGCAGGCATTGGTGACTCAGTGGTCCCAATTTTATTTTAACACATAGACATTGGTACAAGGAGGCACCAAATACATATGTGCCACACAAATCTCATTCGATATGTATGAGGGCTGTGATACTGCCCGGGTGCCCAAACCGAAGCAGGTGGTTTTCTTAGGGGGCCACTCCCCGAGCCTTCGACCTGAAGGTCTGATCCACAAGGCAGTGGAGCATCGTAAGGAGATGCAGTCCCATGGAAGCCGGTGACCAACGATTGGTTCATACGCCATTTGTTCTCGCAGGATACTGGAGCCCATGTGCACCATTGGTTTGTGATCCGGTTAAAGCGCCGGACATTCGCATTTCGTCCTCTCATTTTCGTAAATAACAGTAATGCCACGAGAAGGCAATGAGTAGGACTTCCCTGACAGAGGCTATATGCGCGTGGCCATGTGAGAGCATTTGGAGAGGGAGAGCGGACTCTCCCCATTCTCGGCCGTACCAAGGCATTTGGGGGCCAGTGGTCCCAAAATACAGGAGCGATGCTTCGAAGACACCTATCACTGAATACTAGTAACCTACGAATATTCTCTGTTCTAAATGGCCATGTTTCACACCCATAAAGTAGAACGTAACGAACTGATGGGCAGTAAACTCGTTCTCTGGTTGGTAGATGGATAGCTCTCCTACGCCACAAGTGACCCGTTGTAAAAAGTCAATCGAGCCTTTTGAATCCGTTGCCAAGACTTTGTCAGACACTAGACCATCAGGACTGATGAGACTTCCACGATACTGGGAAAACCTATTTAGCTGTCTACATGTGTTTACCTTCACTGTCAGTTCGTTTGGAAGATTGCTTCAGTGACTCAGTCTCTTGATCACTTAACTGCCCACATAACATCTCTACATTAATATCTTGTTAATCTCTTAAACAACAGAAATGTACTTATCACAAAGAACTGCAAGACTTCTTAATAGTTTAGTTGTTTGGAGTGGATTGTACCTGAATAATTTAATAATATTCTATTAATGCTTAGGATCAACTCCGCCTGGAGCCCCTCGGGGGCCACTGCCGGTCCCAAGTCCGGGTAAAGGAGGAGGGTTGGGCATGGGGTTAGCGACCTCAACCCGTAGAAAACTAACTCGCTAAAAAACGCTAACCAGAAAAAATAATTCAAACTATTTAAACTCTACCTTGGGAGTCAGAAGGTCTTCATTTAGAGGAGTTATGACTCTTCATGGTGAAATCCGAGTTCCTTCGGAAGTCACGAGGCCGATGCCTCTTCTGACAACCAGAGCAACCATTAACTTAGGTACATGGGATGCTTGTACAATGTGGGAGACCGGTAGAGTCTTCCAAGTTGCTGCAAAAATGAAGAGATACAACCTGAAGGTGTTTGGAATCAGTGAAACACATTGGATGCAAGTTGGACAACAACGACTAGCTTCAGGGGAGCTTCTTTTATATTCTGGTCATGTCAGTCACTCAGCTGCAACGTAGGACCAGGCACATATATGCATCGGTCCAAGTTACCATACCTCAGTGACACAACAAGATGGACACCGGATTCATAAAAGTAGTTAATTCAGAGGTGGTAATATATAAAAGAAAGATTGCAATAAGGATATAGTACAGGAAGAAAGAATTAGTTCATAGAAAGATATGAAGCGATTTTAATCTCTTAGTTTAAGGGAAGACAGAGAGTGTATATTTCGACGCCATTGTGATCGATTCTGAGCCATGTCACCAAGAGTCTCCAACCAGTGGTTACGATAGTCACGCGGAACCCAACCAAGTAGTCTGCACCTACCAACATGGCTAAGAGTAGAAGTTAGTGACTTCAAGCACTGATGCCACGTTTTGGTTTGGCCACCCCTAACTTTCTTCCAACCATCCCGAACACCGGTTAGCATTGCACGTCGTGGTAATCGGTGTTCGGGCATACGTAATACGTGGCCCAACCATCTCAGTCGATGAAGATTCACAACCTCATCAACTGATTTACCATCATTCCCTAATACCCTGCGTCTAACCTCACTATTACTTACCCGGTGATCCCAGCAGACGCCAGCAATATTGCTAAGACATCTGTGGTCAAATACTAGTAGCTTACGGGTGTCTTCTACTCTTAATGGCCATGTTTCGCTGCCGTAAATTAAAACAGAACGGACTGCCGCACAGTATACTCGTCCTTTTATTGATAGAAGGATATCTCACCTTCACCATAGGTGACGTAAGTTAGCAAAATCCAAGCAAGCTTTTCGAATCCGTGGTGAGATTTCGTCAGACACCAACCCATTAGCGTTGGTCAGACTTCCACGATAAGTGAAGTTGTCAGTGCGTTCGACTACTTCACTCGCTATCCTTAGTTCAGGTGTTGACACAGACCAGTTCTGAAGCAACAACTTGCATTTAGAGGGAGAGAAGCGCATTCCAAACATTCTGGCATTGTTGCTCAGTGCTACCAAAAGACTCTGCATTTTATCAGCGTCTTCACCAAACAGGACTATGTTATCTGCGTACTCTAAGTCGATAAGTGGACCTCCTGGAAGTAGATCAATGCCCGAGAATTCAGTCGACAAGAGCGTTATTTCCATCAATAGGTCTATGATGAAGTTAAACAAAAATGGAGAAAGTGGACAGCCTTGACGGACACCACTTGAGGTTTCAAAAGTAGATGACAGTTCGCCATAAGCCCTGACTCGACTAGTAGTGTTCGAGTAAAGAGCCTTCACAAAGTTTATGTACTTCTGAGGTACGCCTTTCAATGACAGACACTGCCACAGAATCTCGTGGTCTACCGAGTCAAATGCTGCTTTTAAGTCAAGAAAGACCACCATTGTCGGACGCCGATAAGTATGCCTATGTTCTAGAACCTGACGAATGGTGAATATGTGGTCAATGCAGCCACGACCAGGTCTGAAGCCAGCTTGATTCTCATGTTTGCAGTTCACGAGTCTTAGTTAGGCGTCTGATAATTATCGAGGCTAGTATTTTAGATACTATATTAGTTAAACCCTTTCTTATATATTGGGACGATAAGTGATTGTGACCAGTCCGATGGAATAACGTCTAACTCCCAGATCTTAGCTAAAATATTAATCAACCTAATCGCTAAAATTGGACCATCATCCTTAAATACCTCTGGAGCCGATCCATCTGAACCAGTTGCCCTTCCGCGTTTCAGATTAGCTATAGCCTTTTGAACTTCTGCTAGAGTTGGGGGACCTACTTCAATGTTCTATTCACACTGTCTGGGAACAGAGGGTAGTTGTAGAGTAGCTGAATGTCAGCTGAACTGTTCTCTGAAATGTTCCGCCCATCGTTCTAAACGTCTAGACTGAGAGCAGATGAGGGTGTCGTCTTTTTCCGAAATAGTCTGACTTACACTTGACTTATTAATTCCAGTTTCTTTTATTAGTCTGTAGAGCTGTCTTGTGTTCCCTATAACCGCCACCTTTTCCATCTCTTTTGCTTTCGTTGCCCACCACTGCTCACGGTCGTTCCTTAGACTTTTGCTTAACCTAGATCTGATTTCTTTATGCTCTTCATCGTGTTCAGAGCCCGATGGGATGAGTTTACGAGGATCCATCAGTACAATAGACCTTGAGGAAATCCATTGCTTCTTTGTAACCTTGTGGTTTGAATCACTGATAGTTGTAACTGCTGTTTCCACAGCGTTTTGTTTAGCTTTCCAAGCAACATCTGGGTCAGCCTCGTCTTCACAACTACCTAAGTGTGACCTCAGTTGTTCCTGGAACCTACTTTTGGTTTTCTCGTTACTCAACTCAGTTCTAGCGGGTCTTTTTACTGTGGCTTTTTTGCGTCCAGTGAGGCGCAAGCAGATGCGTGCCCGCATTAGGGCGTGGTCGGGGTCGAAGCAGGTACTCCAGAATTAGAGACAATCTTCTACCGACCCCCTCCAACGATGACTGATGGCAATATGGTCTATTTGAGTCCATCGTTGGTTTGGTGTAGGGGGTCTCCATGTTAGACGATGTCTCTCCTTATGCTTAAAATTTGTGTTTGCTAAAAATAAACGATTGTCTGAG